AGGTAGATAACCAGCTGGAAGAGACTTGAAAACAGCTCAGGCAGAATCCCAGCTTCAAACTGAAGAAGCCATAGGATCATGCCAGCTTCCACTAGGTCACAGTCTGCTTTTCCAGGATAAGCAAAATTGAGGACTGACAAGAATTAAGTTTCTTGGGTTTTATTTGCTCTTATTTGAAACACATGCACTGGTCAAGTATTGACTGCATAGTCAATAGTTAATTTCAAATGAAGGAGAAAATGTGCCCTTCTAGTTAGACTTACCTAGGTAATACAACATTTTTAAAAGCAGAAGAAAATGTGTACAATAGGTGTGGCTTTCTCCGTGGATTTTTTTATGCTTTTATGTCTAATCCAATACAAAATAAAACATCAGTCATCCAGTAGTCTCTGGGAGGGGAGGATCATGTGAACACTGGTCAAACTCTATAGAACCAGCTTAAGAGACGGACTTTGAATTTTTGGCAACAGAAGTGTGTAGCAGTAGATTGGAACCAAACCTTTTCTGCCAACATTAGTGAATAGTGCTGAAAGCTCATGCAAAATAGGACAAGCTAGACCCTTGACATTTTTCTCACAGTTGTTGCTTTTTAAATCGCTGCCTCTGCATGCAAAAGTTTGTTGGATTCATCCATTATTCATGTCCTAGAAATTTGGTAAAGGTCTCATATGTTCCTTCTAAGAGGATAAACCCAGCTGTGGGACCCAATTGTAAAGATGTGGTTACTGGCTTGAAATGTCATTAAGTGTATTATTTGGTATTCCTCTGACTTGAGTCTTTTGGATGGGAATTTAAAGATGCCTGACCTCTCTGATTTTAGTGAACATTAGAGATGACACACAATTACTCATAAAAAAAAGGCTCAAGGGGTTGTTACCATGTCCTATAGTAAAGATTCCGTCTTTCCAGTGATAACATGATGTGTTATAGAAGACATTGCATAGAAGTAGCTGTAGATCTTGGTGCCTGCCTTGTTGAGAAGTGTTTTAGGAACATGACTTGCTTCAGCTAACCTGCTCGTGTACCTGCCAGACTGTGCTCAGCCTGGAAGTATTGTGTGCTTTCTTCTGTTATTTCTAAAAGAAGGGTCAGCAATGTCAGTGGCTTTGTTTTAATCACGATTGATGAATAGCGATTTACTGTGACATTTTCACCTACTGCCGTATTAGGTTAGCTGTTCGTTAAAAACTCTGGAGAGGGTGCCGTCACCAATAGTCTTTCTTCCAGCATCCGGATTTCCTAGTTCTCTCTTCAAGTCTGATGTGAATAAGCCAGCTGACAGTAGGATGACATCCGAAAGGTGTATGATCAAGCTAACTTCTCATATTAAGTATTGCTGTTACTATTACTACTACCTAGTTCTGTGTGATTTCATTGACAAGCTACACAAATCTTTGCAGAGATACGCTCTGTGGTGTGTGAAACAAACATGGAATACAGATGCTACTGATGAAGTTTTGCTATTGATTTTTGTTTGCAAAGAAAGTGTACAAAACAGAGTCAGATAAAGAAACAGAGACCTTGCCCTCCTTTATATTTTTCTTCCTTTATGAGAGATTTAATTGGAAATCTAACAGGAAATTAGACTGGAAGATTACATCAACTGCATGGCTGGCATGCCATGGAAGATCAAGTGCCTGTGTCTTTCATATTGTACCCCAAAGCAGCTTTATGAAGTGTCTGGGATTTCTTGTGGGTTTAAGGATATCAAATATGACATCAGTAGATTCAGCAGCAAAAATATTCTAAGGTACATGGGGTAGAAAAGCTACATGAGTTCTCATACAGTGTTTGGAAGTTGAGGACAAAGAACCTTTTGCATTGTCATCTTAAAGTGAAAAAGGAAAAAGAAGGCTACAGAAGCTAAAAAATCTGTACACAGCCCTATTGACTGTTCACTTCCTAAGGATCTTTCCAAAGAAGCATTTAGGAGGATTGCTTTTTCAGGGCTAGCCTCTAGAGTATTTCATCATGTCAGCCAACTGTTCCACAGGAGTATAAATTAATGGCAACATACCTCTAACAAAAGTCCCTTTTGGATTTTGCCAGTTTACCTTACCTGGTACACAGTGTGTCTTTGGAGAAAATTACTCAGAAGTATCTACTTGGCTGTCATTTGTTCATACAAAGGAGATCCGAGTTCACCTTGTAAAACTAGAGAGGGAGAGAAAGAGTAGTGCTCAAGTCTTTCTGTCTGTCCTACTTAGGTGGAAAACTTGGATACCCCGGGCCCAAAGTCACATGGAGCTAGTTTCAGTGGCTTGAGGACCATGCTTAGCAAAGATTTACCTCTCTGTAGAGGGATCATAGTGCTGTTCCTCTTGACAGAATGTGATTTCTTAAAGCCACGTTTATCCCAGGGACCTTGCAGAAGTGGATTACCATCCTCCACAGGCTGTGCTATTGAGTAGTTGGCCGAAGCAGGAAGGAAACACTTGTGCTTGTGAAACTGTGCTGGAAATAATTCAGCTGTTTACATGGGACGAGAAGCTTTTAAACCAGACTACTTGAAACTGGTTAGCTCTTTCTCTTTAAATGGAAGCTGCCAGAAATATTTCACTGTTGACAAAAGAAAAGAGGGAGAAAAAGCCATGATCAAGGAACCCTCTCTATGGCATAATCTAAGGCTATTTGCCTGTTACTGGCAACAGCAACAGGGAGATTCAGCATATTTATTATATACTTAAATAAAAGTATTATAACTCTGTATACACCTTGATATCGATTACAACGTCATCACAAGCATCATCACAGAAGACAGCTAAACCTGACTATTCATTTCAGAGGCCACAGTCTTTTCCACAAATTGAGTACAGTTTTATGCACCCGCTAGGGGTTTTGGCATCTGCAGATTACATATGGTTTGAACTCTTACCGATGCAATAGATGGAATTATCTATACCCTAGAAAAGGTTGCGTATAGCAGATACTGCATTCCTAACAGTATTTTCAGAAAGGGACAAACTGGAGCAAGACAGATGAAAACATTTGGAGCCTTGTATGTTCAGATCAGAGAATGTTGCAAGAGAGATTTGGTGGATATCAAGGATGGAGAAGTTGGTATTTCCTACAGCTTTTTGCTATGTTAACAATGCAGATTTAGTTTCAAAAATTAAGCATGTCTGACAGAAAGAGTGGAGAAGAACAGGAGGAAAAATGCTAACTTCTGTTATGGGGATGCAGTTTCTTTTGAAGTCAATGGGAGCTACTTGCTTGTATGATTTTTGAAGGGAAAAAAAAAGTCAAAAGACTGCAACAAAAAGACTTTGCTTACATTTGAAGGGGAAGGGCTTCACCATGATTACCTGATAATACTCTGCCTGGTTTGTTCATTCAGAAAAAATGGTATTAGAACTGCTGTGTAAGTGGATAGACTGAGATTTAGAGGGTGGGTTGGCGAGATGTTCCTGGTTGGCCTCATTGCCATGGCCCTGTCAGCACACATCAGCTGTAACCCATAGGAACTAAATACTTGTGAAAACAAGTCGTATTTCATCCTTCATGCTTTTTGAATCTAATCTTGTTTTAACAGTTTGCTGCGGGTACCAGATGATTGATGCCGTCACACTGCAGATAAAATTTATCATTCTGTCATTTTTATTCAATATTTTAGAAACATTTTGGTGTAAGCTGGAGTCTGGAGCAATGTTACACATTTCTTCTGTGGTTCACCATAGCAATAAAAATAATCCATCTAATTCTCATTGATTGATTGGCAGACATTTCCTAAGTATGGACGTAGAATGAATTAGTAGGTTAGTTAAACCTGAATATGTCTTGAAATACATGTGCTGTATTTCTTTTTAAATATACCACAAGGAGATATAAATGAATATAGGATCAGAACCTTGTGAAATACATGAAAAGAGAACAGTTGTTTAGTCATGTGCATATTTGGCCTAGTTTTGTAATAAACATCATAGGATAATATCAGCTATTCACAACAATTACATGGGATGTTGTAAAAAGCTCATTACACTTCAAAAAAGTTTGAACCCCTGAAATTTCAGCATATAATAATGTCAGAGTTTTTACCTGTAAAGATGGCCTGCAAGGACCGTGCTTTGTTCAATTCGGAGTTGAGGCCTCAAAGCAGCATTTAAGTGGTCTTGTATCATCCATGATTATTAGCAGGCCATCAAATTACTCTAAAAGGGA